CAGAACAAAGAATAGAATAGAGATTAGCATGCTTACTTAAGTGAATAAAACCTCCCACTCTTTCAAGCCTAGCTCTTTTCTCAATCATCTGAGTTGCAACATAGTTCTTTCCTAAGTAGTAAGAATCCAAATTAAGACATAGTCTCTGTAAGTTTGTAAATTTTTGTGTTCTTGTGGACTTAGATTCAAATTCCTAACTAAATCTACCTCCAATGATGGGGATTTTAAAATAAATGTGTAGAAACAACTGTACACTGTAGTAAAATCCCCTTTGGTTTAATGATTCAGCTTGAAAAGGTGAAATCTATTCAAGCCATCAAAGGAGATATATAGTAATATAAACACAAGATGCTTAGTAAATTCTTTCCTTTTTTCTTCATTCCTTCAAAGATACTTTTAAGAATTTCAATCTATTTTTATCACACTCAACCTTCTCCCCCAACTACTCCCAGGCCCACTTCATTTTTCTCCTTCTCTGTTCACCCAAATTTGCATCTCTTACAAAACAAACAAACAAACAAACAAACAAATGTTATCATTTCCAACTTGTGCTGTAAATATACTCTTGGGTGTGTGGCTGTCCACGGGAACATGGTTGATATGGTCCACTGGTCTCACCAACTCCCCATCTCCCAGCAGTTTTCATTTGTCAATATCTCCTCAGTTAAGAGTGGGACTTCTTGCCTACCTCCTCTCTCCATGCTGGAATTTTTGTCTGGCTTAAGCTGTCTTGGGTCTTGCGCATATTGTCATAATGGCTATATCCAGAAAACACTGTCTTCTTACACTCAAAACTGCTACCTCTGGCTCTTACATTTATTCTGCCCCCTCTTCCACAATCATTCTTGAATCTTTGGATGAGGGTGTATGAAACAGATGTTCCCTACAGGGCTGAGCATGCCAGTTCCAGTCTCTCATTCTCTGGACCATAAGCACTTGTGGAGTATCTGTGCTAATCATTTACTGAATAAAGAAGCTTCTCTGATGAGAGTTGAGTCATTGGAGGTTGGTTTAACATTGGAGAAGTTCTTTGTACAGCTAGTCAAACCTTGGTAGGCTGGAATATGTGTACAGAACTTATCTTTGGGCACCATGATGGCAGCATAAGTCTGGGCTTTCTACCTAGAGTTCTATTCTTGTCTTTATACTCCCTTTTCTATACCTCCTCTCCATCTTTTTTCCTATCCTCCTTCATTTTTCCCTCTCTCCTTTTGGTTTTGTTCATAATTTTAAGTTAAGGAGCTACTCTGAAATAGCTAGTCAAACATCAAGTGTACAGAAACATTCTGCATAGTAAGTTCTGTGTTGATCACTGTCTTAATTTGTAAGACAGTTTCATTAAGGCTGTGTGTGGAGAATGATACATTTTTCTATTTGTATAATACATTTCCTGCCTTAAAGTTGTTCAACCAAAAGGATGGGATTATTTCTCTAGTTGATTAGTAATTCTTATTCCATAGATACAGTTTAATCTGATTGAAGAAATATCACAATTTTGTATAGCAATTTATAATTCTGACATTTGAAATGTTTGACTCTTTTATAATTTTTATTTTCAACAATATATAATTAAAGATTTCTACTTAAGTATTGCCCACATTTACCTATAGGAAGAAAAATATTGAACATTAATTTAGCCCATGTGAACCTAATGGTTAAATATGTAACATTAAATTAGACATTATTGGCTGTATGACTATCCACACACTTGCTAAATCTCTCGCTTTGGAGAATAAACATATAGGAAGCATAATAGAACAAATCTGAGAAAGATGTATATTATCCTTTTGTTCAGTGTTTCTAATTTCATATCATAATGTAGCACAGCCTTATGCTGAGCTCCCCCTGCAGATTGAGCAGTTACAGCAGACTTTTTTAAAAAAATCGTAGATGTAACAAGCACATATCACATTTCTGCAATGATCTTATGAAAAAAAATCACACTATAATAAGTTGTCAATGTAAAACAAGAATAATGGAAAGAAGCAAGGTGTAGATTAATCAGCTTTATAATACAACGATTTTGAGTTTCCACTGGAGTAAATCCAAATTAGCTCTACCCCACACTTTATCAATGCTTTAGTAGACCATATCTTTCATAGTATATTACTTAGTATATCCATGCATCCAGGATGACGTTTTTCTGTATAATGAAGAGGCAAGTTTGATGCTTGTTTTCACGTCCTTCCAAATTTGGGTAGTCCTTTAACTTGACAACCTATTTAGACAAAGACCAGCGGCATTCAGTTTATGACCTGTGTGCTGGTTGGATTGGTGTACTGCTCACTCTTAAGGGTCTGGATTCTATTTAATATGACAGTGACACTTAAAATGGGAGCAGAGTACCCAGTGTTTATATGGCCTGAAGTTCATCTTCATCAGGTTTGAAGGTAACTGCATCAAAATGTATAGTGTTGCTGGAAGGTTTTATGGAAAAGTTATTCAATCTTGACCTTGCAGTATTGATTAGGGTGTACCCAGAGTATAACAGTTTTTTTTTAGATAAGAATAAAGGTTAACTGAGACTTAGAGATAGTGAAGAGAATTTTAACTATGCACATTCCAAGACTTGTACAAAATGAGGTAGATAATCCAGTGTGATATTAAGGTAGGAAGGACACAAGAAGGGATAATGGAAGTTGGACAGTGAAGGTCACCATGGGAGGGCTTTAAATTCCAGGAGACTCTTGAGCTTCAGCTGATTCCATAGAAAATGATACATGCACTTCATACTTTGGAAGGTGATGCATGTATCTGTTTAGATGATAAGAGAAAATAGATTGCAAATAGTAATAATTCTGTGAATTGGAAAGCAATGAGAGTCTATGGTAAGAGGTACATATAATGCCATGAATTTGAAAAGGAGTGGACACAGAAGGAATTGGGGGGAGTGTAGGGAAATATGCAAATACAGTACTCGTGTGAAATCTTCAAAAAACAAATAAAATAATTAAAATCCTAAAATGAGATGAGCTATGTCAACTACAGACAGTTGAGGGAAGATAAATAAAATTTGGTGTTTGATAGAGTCCAAGGAAAGAGATGACTTTGATGGTGAGCAACATAGATTCCTCAAGTTTCTCTTACCCTTTGACCAGCAACATAATGGAACATAGCCTTGTGTAGAACTAACTTGGATTCAATCCAGTGGGAAGCTAAAATCTCTTCAAACCTGATATGCATGTTGTTACTTAGCATTGCTGTTGCCTGGCATGTGACAGAACCTGCAGTAAGAAAACGCACAGCAATTCATTATGGTTTGCAGATGATTGACTGTTGAATATGATACAGATCCCATGTGCATGGGAATGTACAGGGTACAAGTTCTTGGAATACCTTACTCCTTTTTTTCAGGGCGTTGTAAGTGCCTTCTTTTCAGAAGAGTCTGAGTTTACTACTTAGGAGACACTTTAACAATTTTAGGCTTCAGTTTAGGAAACACCTCTGGTCAGTGGGTGGCAGTATTGCACAGAAAGTGCCCAGACTTTGTGGTCAGAACAGTTGTCAAACCCTAGAACCAGGCCTGCTCCTTTATCCCAAGGCTCCCAGCCAGGTATCTAGAATGACTTGATTTTCTATTGAAATACAGATTCTCATACTATAACAGAGATTTTGATTCAGTCAGTCTGGGAGTGGCAGCACATAAGGGTGTGTCATTTTGAGAGTTAGCTAATTATGGAATTTGATCTTTTTGAGGTTTCGTTTTCATAGCATTGTTGTGAAAGTTACATGAGGAAAATACACGTGTCTAAAGCAACTTTTTCTTCCCCTTTCGAATATGCCATCATTTATCATCAATTTGAAACTTGAACAAAGGAGATTGTATAGCAGAAAGAAAACTGGTGAATTTTGTCCAACATAAGAGAGAAAATACAGTATTAATTGGATAATTAATTGAATAGACAGTAGAAAGTACAATTCCTCTGTTTTAATTTTTAAATTTTCTATTATTTTGAGATTATAGCATAAATGATCGATAAATCGATAAATTTCCTCCTTCCCTTCCTCTAAGCTCTCCCATATACTTCCCCTGTTCTATTTCAAATTAACGGCCTCCTTTTCATTAATTGTTGTTATACACAAATTTATATATAAATTTAGGAACACAAACATATATACATTCCTAATTTTATACAAATACAACATGCTTGGCCTGTATGTTTTCAAAGGTGACCATTTGATATTGGATAAATAATTGGTGTGCTCTTCCCTGGGTAAGACTATGACTCCCACTGTCAGCATTCCTTAGTGGCCTGTAGTTCTTTGTGTAGGCCTCATGGACTTACCCTTGTCCACTTTGGCATGTATATTGTTGTCCTCATTCATTTATTTTTTTTTTTAAATAAGAGTAAAAAAATAGGGAACCAAAATAGTGATAAAACAGATGAATACATATCTCTCTATATTTTAATATAAAGCTCACATTTATTTTGACATGGTGATAATAATTTACAAATGTTTTGTGACTTCTTAGTCTTAGGAAAAATATCTTAGGTTAAATACACAATTCTCCAAACCAAATACAATTAAATAAAAAAATAACAAAATTCTTTGTGTCAGTATAGAACTGGTATTTACCATACATGCTTTTGGACTGACCATCCACAGGAAGGAGACTGCAAGAGTTCAACACAATCTGTACAACGACACGTGGCATACACGTCTGCTGCCCTTGGAGCTTATAGAACATTGCAATCAGTCTTATACAAATTATTCATAGTTTCTGTGTTGCCAGTCAGCTGCCCTTCCCAGTTCTGAGGATGTTCTAATAGAGTCCTATACGTGTATCTCCTTCCATGTGTCTCTCCACGATCTTCTTGCTGATGCCTTCTCAATTCTCTACCCGGATAACTTCCATGTTAATCCATTTTGAGTCATTTGTACTTCCGCTGGGCCTGCTGAGTCACCAAAGCAGGCCAAGTTGATCACGCAGGCAGGGCCACTGGCGTGTTCCTTCTGTCCTTGATACCATATTTTAATTGCTGCCAGCCAGGAACTACTCACTTTAAGCTATTAGCCTGGAGGTCATTTAGAAGATTTAAGTAAATATTTGATTTTAGGAACCTGGGGTAAGAGTCCTTTTCCATAAGTGTGTATATGACTTTTTGTGCCTCATCAAAAGATGTGGGGGTTGGTGCTTTAATCTTTTTGGCTGTAGATTCTCGAGTACGAAAGTCAATATTGATCTAAAAAGAAAAGAAATATTTGGTAATCAATGTGCACTTGCTGTTAATGATACATTTTATTATGTTATTGGTGTTTCGTACACACCTTAAGAAAATGGTTAACATTCTTGTTTAAATCATCTCAAATACGTCTTGAATTGCTATACTAAGCCAGCCCTATACTAGGTGTATGAGAGTTACAAAAGAATACAGCAAAAAAAGAGGTTTTTCTTTCTGTATCTGTTTATGGTGTAGTTGGGAGAAACAAAAAAAAATAGACAAGAAAAACTTAAATACCCATAGAAAGTAGACCATATACCAAAACAGAGTGCTATGGACATTGTAGGTTACTGAATGGGAGTATTTTCCCAGAAGATCAACACTACAAAGTAGCTGCACATGTCTTTGCTGCTTTGATTGTGTATGACAGTAGTCTACATTTTATCCTTATGTGAGTTGCAAAAATTTACTAAGGGTTCCTTAGCATACCAGTCTGCCCTGGGTCACCTCATCCATTCCCCATCCCATTAAGTTGGACATTTTTGAAAAATCAGTGTATTTCATTTCTGTATTGATATTTTTACAAGCACAGGGAGTGGTCCCAATGCACTGAACATACAAGTGGACATACTTATTTATAACTAAAACCATGATACCAAGGACTTCAATCCAACCTGTACACCGAATGCTATTTCTCAATGACAATGATTTTACTACTCACTTGTTTCACAGCGTCTGAATGCACAAATGCTTTGTATATATTCTCTGCTTTGCTACTCAAAAGATCAGACTCTGTTTTCTTATAGTCTTCACAAGCCAACCAGAATTCGATATTTTCTTCACTGAATTCTGACTTTAGAAAATTTCCAAAGACACTTTGACCAGCTAAAAAGAGAGGAGTAAATTAATTAAATCAGTAAATAGATATATTGTAGAAGACATTTCTACTATTCCTCTATGTATAAAGGTATGAGATGGTGACTGATAAAATAACTGTACCATACTTTATAGGCAGTCTTAGAGATTCTGCTATGTATGGAAGAGGAATCTGGTACCAGACAGCCTTGTACACAGTCACACACTGCTTTGTATATTCATGTAAATGCACTTTGCTTCCTGCTGTATTTAGATCAAAACTGAACTCTTATGATTATAGATCAATGTGATTACTTATAGACACCAACATCGGAGCAAAAGTGTAGTGTGATTTTTTTTGCAAGGAAATGTTAATGTTGAAAATTAAAAATATAATTTCCTCATCCAAATGATGGTAGTCAGCTAATGTTAGGTCTGCATGTCACCTGCATGCTTGGTACAGTGATTACATTTGCTAGTGTGGTTGAGATTTATATGCCATTTACTCCCTTAGCTTAACTGTAAACTAAACCTTGCAATCACATGATCAAACTATGCTGAATTTCTTAGAGCCCCCAAGTAATTTTCCTTTTGTGTCTTTCTGTGGAATTGAGGCTGAACTTACTCTTGAGATCAATCTGCACTTCTGAATATAGTGCTAATCCTAATAGCATCTCAATCCTATGATGGGGGAGAGGAACTGATTTCATTCTTTTCTTTCTTTCATCAGAAAACCCCCACAAGATTCTCATGAGCTTACCTACATTAAAATATATATCATATTGCATACTTGGAATATGTATTAGGTGTTTCCCAAACTTCTTTCAGGCAGTAATAAACTATGTCTTTGCATTCGAATCCTTCTTGCCTTTAAAATACCTTCCACATAAGGCAGATGAATGAAAGCTAATAGGTATGTGGATGATAGAATACTAATTCAGTAAATGATTACTACTCTTTACATCCAACTGCACTAAGTACCTTTTTAAGTACCTTTCAAAACAGCAATTCATATGATATTTGCTTGTCTTTTAAAATTTTGAAACTGCAGCAAAATTTTATTTGATTTTTGAAGGCTTATTTTCTTCATGGGTATATGTGCGTCCCCTTTTCCCTGTCTCCATGTAGGAGCAGCTGTGGGCATGTGCCCATACAGGCCAGAAGAGGGCATCAGATCTAGAAATACAGTTGGATGGCTGTGAGACAAGTGTTGTCTTTAAGAGCACCAAGCACTCTTAACTAATCAGCAATCTCTCCAACAGCCCAGCATAATTTAAGTTTTGTTCTTGAATCCATGAATACATGTAGTTTGTAGTTGCTCTGGCAGGTTTGTCTAAAAGTCAGTTCTAAAAATCTAATGCTGTATTACAAAGTCATAATGTGATGAAATTATCAATGACCATAGAACACTAAAGTACTATTTTTTGCATATTCTCCTTCCTTCCTTTGATAATATACATTAATCATAATCCAATCTACTAAATTATTGAGCTGACTCCAAAACAATGGACAATTAATGAATACTTACTCTGGTTGGCAAGAAGTTTTTCCAGAGATTGAGACCACTGCATTACTTCCTCAGCAGAAAGTCTACAATTAATAAAATGACATAAATTAATAAACTAGTTTGAATAATTGCAAATGAAATAATAATGGATGCTGCCCTTTAATGACTAAAGATTCTCATTATAATGAGTTCTGTTGCAAATTTTACATGTAAAATCCCTTATAATTACCATAGTTATGAAAAAGTCTGTCAAGACAGCTAAAAAATCCAAGTAGATAAAACAGAAAAATACAAACATGAATAGAAAATTATTGGGGCATATTTATAATTAATACCCATCAACTCTAATGTAGCCTAATCTTGTTTGTCATATTACCTAAAATAAATAAAGTTCATTCCGTGCATTATTTTTGTGTGCTTTTAAAAAAAAGAACAAGTCTTTAGTCTAGCCCTGGCTGGCCTCAAACAAGTGAAAATCCCTCTGCCTCAGCCTCCCAAGTGCTGTGATTACATGGCTGAGCCACAATGCTCAGAAACATGCAAAATCAGTCAGTATCTTGCAAAGATGACAGTCAACTTCTAGGATGCTTATACAGTTATAACATTTCAATACGTTCAGTACATACATGTCTTTGGACTTGGATGATTTCATCCCGGATTCCAGATGTGGGATCATAGATCTCAGGTATGCTTTCACATCCATTCCACTACAAAAGACAACAAAAGGTCATAATTCTCTAGGAAAGCTCACTTTATTTATAAAAGAAAAGGTAGACAAAGCAAACATCTGAGGAAGAAAGTAATAATGAAACATAGATAATATATTTTGCTGTTTTAAATGGAGCTTATTTTTATGAGTTAAAGCCCAGAAAGATCCCCAACTACTTCCCACCATGTTTTATTTTAGAATAAAATTTAATCTCAATTATAAGTCACAACAGATAATTGCTCTGATCTACATAAACTAAATGCCAGCATTCCCTTCCATTCATTCATGCTCCCTTGGTCGTAAAAGATAACATCAGTGAGACACTGAAGGAACTTACAAAGTCTTTGGCCTCTTTTTTTGCGTTTTGTCATCTAGAAGTGAATGGCTAGGTTCTTTCAAATCCTTTGGGCTAGCAGAGAAGAACATTCCGGGCATTTTGTCCAGCCTTGGCATGGAGATGGCTGCAGCTCTCATGGTCTTCTCGCAATGAGTGTCTGTTAGTCCCGTCTGATGCTTTATATAGCGTAGGCAGACAGGCACTTGCTGTTCAGGGAGTCTGTTTATCAAGTAATGTTACCACAGACACTGGAAGTTCCTCCTTTCTTGGTGTGTTGTGACGTGTATCTTGAAGAAAAAAAAGTTCACAGTGTTGTCTTGTGGTTGAAACCCAAGCAAATGAGAGCAGGTCATTTGATTAGCAAGGCACAAAGAAAATTACACACACACACACACACAGAGGAGGGCACATGTCTGGAGCAGTAGCGTCAGCCTTTGGTTTGAGGGATTTCTTGTTTCTTCCTGAAAACTGTTATGTTCTGATCAATGTTATATTTACTATATTTACTGTGTCATGTGGAAATTCAGCATTAAAATTGTATCTCCCTCCATACCTTAGGTAGTCCTTAACTATAAAATCATCTGATCAAAATATTGTTTTCTTTTTTAACAATTAAAAATAGATTTTAGTTTTTAATCAGAATGATTATGGTTTCCCCTCCCCCAGGTCCTTCCAGATTCCCCCACTTTCCTACCCACCCTAATCCACACACACTCTTTCCCTCTACCATTAGAATACAAACAGGCATCTGAAAGAATACCATAAAATAAAAGCAAACAAACCAGACTAGGTCCAAACAAACAAACAAACAAACAAACAAACAAACAAACAGAAGAGAAAGAGCCAAAGAAAAGGCACAAGAAACATAGACACAGAGACACAGTCACACACACAGAAATCCCATTGATACCACAAAACCTGAAACCATAATATATACACGAAGCACCCAACCCATAGATAGAGAAGCATCCTGCTGCAGTAGATGGGAACAAATACAAAGACCCACAGCTGGACAATGAACAGAGAGTGAGAGATTTTGGAACATTCAATCCCTAAAAGGGGTGCCTCCATCAAATCCCTCCCTTCAGGAAACCTTGCAGAGGTGGAAAGATTGTAAGAGCCAGAGGGGATAGAGAACACTAAGGAAACAAGATCTAAACACAGCATGACTCATACACATATAAACACATATAGACTGTGGTACTATGCACAGTGCCTGCATGGGTCTGGGCCAGACAGGGTTCCAATGTCCGGAGCAGAAGTGAACACACAACCTCATTCCTAAATCAGAAGGTATCTGCAATTGATAACCTCTCACAAAGGAAAAATTAGTTTTCTCCAAGGGAGTCTCACTGTCAGTGCAAAACACTCTTAAGCTTAGGCCCCACATCCAGCAGTAGATGAACTTAATGGCATTTTTGGAGGTTCTTTTTGTATTGTAATGATTTCTCAGGGTTTTTTTTCTTTTTCTTTTTTTTTCTTCTTCTTTTTTAACCTTACTGATGACACTATTTTAAGAGTTCATCACCACTACCTGCAGGAAGCAGCATAAGATCAACACTTTTTATCTGATTATTCTGCATCTACATGGCAAGAAGGCTATCTATGGGAGGCTATCTTCACCTTGTGCTGCCTGGACTCTCACCCATCATTTCCATGGCACGAACATTTTTGTTAGCTATTCTACCAGTAACACATAAGTTGACCTTAAGGAGCACACTGTTTTCAATGTTATTTTAATAATTAGAATATAAATAATGCGCCAAATTGCAATTGTATGTTAATAATTAAGAAGAGAGCATAGTAAAATTAAAGCAAAACCCATAGATAAAATGTAGTTCACACACAGACACTACATAATACATAAAAATACCGATCTTTAGAAACACAATATCTGGAGAAAAATCCAAGGGAGAGTCAGTTTGTTTGGACAAATCAATCATTTGTAGTAATTACGAGAAAATCATTGAATTTTTGACAATGTCTCTGGAGACATATGGTCCAGCTTTAATTGAGATGATTATATTAGAAATCATTACTTATTGACAAATTACTTATCAGAGTAAAAGTATTAATGTCACATAAAATCTTACAGAGTTTATATGGGATGTATGGCATTTTATAGGGTGGCCAGTTTAACTTTGGGCAGATTGAATTTGCCTCTGAAAAGGTGGTAGCCTTTACTAGAGAGGTTTCTGATGAAATTAGGTAAAGCTGAATAAAAAAAATGGAGGAGAATATTAATTTTTCTTGTCCTTGTTTTAATCATTATGATACATAATTCCTGCAGTAAATATTTATAATATTACAAAATTCACTATGGCAATGAATGACTATTTTGTGCACTGGTATCACCTGATGTTTAAAAGATAACATGATTCATTTGAGAACAAGAAGTAGTGGGATGAGCTGGCCACTTTGAAAGTGACCCAAACAAAACCGATAGGGCTGTGACAGATGACGTAAAGATGTGTTTGTTTGCTTCCTGTGGTCCAGCTCAGACTGACTTTCCCGTTAAAATCTTCAGCATTTCACCTGTTTGTTTATTGATAATCTCTCACTCCTGTAGACAACTGTCGGCAAGTTAAGCTTGGGGAAACACAATTTAAAGATTGTTTTAATAAACCATGATTACTGTTATCCAAATATACTGGCAATGTCCAAAGAATGATTTTGCAAGAACTGTTCCTTTGGATGTTATGAACATTAAAAGAAACAATCATAACAGCAGAAGTTATGGCCCCAGACTTGCTTGGGATATGTTAGATTTTTACTATTTCAAGGAACCATACACGTTTTTAGATAAGAAAAATGTATTTTAATTTGGCTAATTTTACTAATGTGATATAAAAGGTAATGGATCTCATTATGCCATTTCCATATATTGTTCTCATTGCTTTCCCTGCTTCCTCCCTTCCTTTCTCCCCATGCTTTCTCCCAGTTTCCCTTTTCTCTTCCAACAGCTCCTCTAATGCTTTTATGGCAAGTGCATTCTATTAGCTTGTTTTTTCTTCCCCCACTCCACATTGAGATCTCATTTCTTCTTTAGGCTTTCTTTTCTAGCTTCCTGACCCTGGTGCCCATGAGTGTGCACAGAAGCACTAATACACAGACACAGACACAGACACACACAGACACACACACACACACACACACACACACACACACACACACACATATGCAGGCACACACACAGGCACAAACACACACACAGATACAGACACATAGACACAGACACAACAGACACAGAGATACATATACACACAGATGCACAGACAGACAGACAGACAGACAGACAGACAGACAGACACACACACACACACACACACACTCAGTATATGAGCAAAAACATCCATTCTTTGTTTTTCTGAGTCTGCAGTTTGTTTACCAGGAATTTCTGGCCATTTCCCTTCACATGCTGGGGTTTTACTTTTCTTTATGGCTGACTGAAGTTCCATTGTGAATATGTATAATGTTTTCTTGATCCATTCACCTGTTGTTGCTCATCTAGAATGTTTCCATGTTTTATCTACTTTGAATAGTGCATCAATAAATGGATGGGCAAGTATCTCTGTGGTGTGCTGACTTGGAATTCTTTGGGTATATGTCTAGGAGTGGGACTACTGTGTTTTATGGTAGTTATGTTTTAGTTTTTTTTAACTTCCATACTGATGTCCATAATGAATATTCCAGTTTATTATCCCACTAGCAATAAGGAGAAGTCCTCTTTCCCCCACATTTTCTTATATTTTCTATTATATCTTTTCTTGATAATAACCAAGCTGAATATGGTAAGATGGAATCTCAAAGTAATTTTAATTTACATTTTCCTGAAGGCACAAGGTGTTGTGCAAAACAGGTGTTATGAAAAGTACCTTGATACCACATTAAGAAACTGAGAAAAATAATTACTTTTTATGTATTAAAGAATGGCTTTAATAATTCCAAAGTATTTTTATTGCAGCAGAATGTTTAAGCTTGACCATTGCCAAATAGTTGTAATGCCTTTCCTAAGCTCAAATACAAAACTAAGTTCTTGAAAGACAGGTCCTTCTGAAATTCCTGAGTCAAAACTGGCAATAGAAACCACTCCTTTAAAGGTCTCTTGTCAGCCCATACAAAGTCTATACACAAGTCAAAGTCAAGCAGATTTGACCCAGGAGTATCAGAAATGACTGAGGAATCCTAACAAGGTCCTGAAAGTTCTCTGTCAATCTCTTATACTGCCACAGTCAGGTCTTTCGTCATAGAATTAATCAAAAATAGAAAAACTGCCAAGTAATTTCACTGAATCAATAAGTGTGTTTGAGATAGAGATTTCATGAAAACCAATAAAAAAAAGAGCTGTGGCTTTCAGAAGATTTCTCATATTTACCCTTTCTCTGTGAAACTGTCCTTAAATAAGCAGGTCTGAGTCTTAAGAAATAATGTAGTCTTAGTGTTTTCTGTTTGTTAAGCAATGGGCTTACTTTTAGAGCTGTGTTAGACTCACCATAAAATTGAATAAAGAGAAAGAATTTCATATCCTACCCTGTCCCAAACTCTACCACCATCACCACTCTTCATTAATGTCATATATTTTTTACAACCAATAGACCTACATTGACACGTTACTGTTATCCAAAGTACATAGTTGACACTAGTGTTCACTGTGGATGCAGCATATTCTGTGGGCTTTAACATGTGAATGGCAGTGCACATTTTCTCTCATGCCACCATGCAAAATGGCTTCCTTTCTCTCAAAATACCAGCTTATGTGGTTATCTATTTAGAGACAGGGTCTCATGTAGACAAGGTTGGCTTTGAGCTAGTTAATGTGTCTCTGAGGATGGCTTTGAACTTCTGGTACTCTTGCCTCTACCTCCTGGGGGGACTCAGTTTTATGCAGTGCTGGAGATCCAATGAACATCGGGCTTTGTTGAGTACAAAGGAGCTACACCTCCAGCCTTGTGTCATAGTTTTATGAATGGTTATAATTCTTAATGAGAAAATCCAGAAAATGTTATTCTTTCCTTAATTAATTTTACAGTTTGGTTCAAATAATTCCAAGTAACTTTATAGGAGCAGGGTGAACTTTGTTGAATGATATTTGTAATTGTGATATTGAAAATCCTGATGTTTAATTTTTGTAATATTG